GGGGACATCTAGACACAAGCCATAACAGTGAGTGTATAAACTAATACAGCCACTTTGGAAGTCAATATGGAGAGTCCTAAAAGAACTAAAAATGTTGTTCGAGCACTTAAGAGGCAGGAGGATCACCATGAGTTTGAAGCCAGGCAGGCATACATAAGTAAGACTGTCTCCAAAAACAAAACAAACATCCCTAAAACCAAAAATTTTATGTGTCCCAGTCTTGTCTTTTCTAGGTAACTCTTCCCCAAAGAGTTAAAGTCATCATATTACAGTGATATATGCATACTTATTTTATAGCTGGACAATTCATAACAGCTAAACCTTGGAAGCAGCCTGTAGGCCATCAACAGGTGAACAGAGAAAATATGATACATTCACAATGAAGAAGGCTACATTTGAGTCATTTATAAGAAAATGGATCCACCTTAATACCATGATGTGAACTAAAAGACACAGAAGGTTAAATATCACATTTCTCTTATATGAGAAACCACAAATATAATTTGAGAAGCAAACTAAAAAGACAGGGCACAGGGAGGTAGACTTTGTGGAGGTTGGAAGAGGCCCTAGGGATCAGGGGGATGGGAAAGGGGAAGGAGAAGTAAAAGTAAGATGCGATATCTATGTGTACAAATCTCCCAAGATAAATGTAACTGGTTTGCATTCAAAATATATGCTAATTAAAAAGAAGCCAAAAAGCCTCATAGGGAGGAAAGACATAAATTATAATTATCAACGTTAACAAATTCTGATTTTTTCAACCAGAATACGGAAAGACACAGGCCCTGTCAGTTCTAATGACATTTGAAAGAAATGCCTTTGAGGTCTGTTCTGTAGCCTTGAAGTGATTCCCAACACACAGGTGTTACATGGTGCTTTGGAGTGTAGTCCCATCCTTTGGAGATTGGGACATTTGACCACACCCAATATGGGCAATTTAGAGCAAACGCTGGTCGTCAGGAGTAACCGAGGTCTTTCAGACCCACATTTGAGAACTTTCTGTGATCTTTTTCTTCTGTCAGGGATATTATCTCAAGTTTGGCACTGCCCTCCTTCATGGAAGGACCTCATCTGTCCTCTGCTTCAGTGCCCAAGCCAGCTTTTCCCAAGAATTTCAAGAAAAAGGTACATTTCCAGCTCTCCTTAAACTTTACTTTTCATAGAGGTAGTGTCTTAGTTACTCTGCTTTCGTTGCTGGGACAAATACCCAGCACGTAAAATGAAGGAAGGAAAGGTTTATTTAGGTCAATTACTGGAGGGTTCATAGTTTAAAACAGCCTGAACTATGTAGCAAGACCTCCAACCCTTATTTCTTCAGGAGAGTGAGTGTCTCTGTCTTCCCAAACATCTCCTCCCTGCCTGAGGCGGCCTCAATCACAGACACTGCCATCCCGCTCTACAGGGTCGGGAGAGGCTGGGGCACTGCCCTGTCCAGGATAACCCTCTCCACATCTCTGAGAGACTACTGCGCAGGGGGAAGAGAGCACACGCTGTCAGTTTAACCTGGCCCCGCCCCTCAAGCCCCGCCCTAGCCCTCTGGCCCTGCCCTTCCAGCCACGGCACTGCTGGAGCTCCTCTGCCCCATGACTTACATGAGGTTTTGGGGGGACAACTAGACACAAACCATAACAGGGAGCTTCCATCCTAATGGAGCAATTGCATTTTAATCACTTGGGGATTCACCAGGTGTCAGTGGGGTGCATTTCCTGACATTATTTTCATTATTTTCTCTTTACACTGTAACAAAAAATCTTTGGGTAACAAGAAACTATGATTTTTTGAAGAAACTGTCATTTGTGAACTCCTATTTGATCTCCTTATTGGTCTTATGCCCAAGGTCTTTGATCTGGACACTCATGAGTTGTGGGAGAGGCATGTACATCTCAGAGGGGCAGAGGAACAACTGTAAGCTCTTTTCAGTACATGAGGTCACAGTGGGTGGTCCGGTGTTATATAGTTGAATTTTGAGGCCTTGAGTATTCTCAGGAAGGCCCTTAGGGGTGGGAGGACTAATATCATCTTAGTGGTAAACCTTCAGCTGTGAACAATTTTGTTAAAAGTTTCTATGGAAAAACAAGTGAAAGGAATCATTGGTGCTAAGCCTCTGTGGTTTCTATAGGACACGTTTTGGCTCAGAGGAAGTTGTCTAGTTCAGTCAAGGAGAGAATCTTTGCCAGTTCCCATGCACAGTATGGTAATGCACATTATTTTCATGTTTCATAACAGTAACTGACTTATCACAACTGTCTCTTCTTATCCAGTAGGAAACAAGGAGACTGTTGTTATTATTGTTGCAGATGGGAAGGGGACCAGGAGATAGAGGGTGGGGAACATAGAAGGCTGAGGGGAGAAGGGGCTGTAAAAAGGACTAAGATGTTATATACATGCACCAATTTCCTATGATGAATGTACTTATTATGTCCTCCAGATATATACTAATAAAAATAAAAAATAAAGATGTAACACATAAAACAGCAAATAATAGAATGTAGGTTTACAAGAATGTGATGGGTGGAGCTGCCAACAGTTAGCTCCAGACCAGGAGGGAACTAACAAAAAGGTATGTTGAACAGCCAACTTCCCAAGCAAGCTAAGGTGGGAAGTGAAAGCAAAGGTTGACCTTTGATGATACTGTTGAACCTCTGCTTTACTAAAATGCATTAATGAGAAAGTAGGCCTATAAACGCCAAAAACAAGTGAAAGGAATGGGTGGCCATTAAACCAGGGGAGAGCTAATGCCCTGGTTCCAAATAAGCCAAACCTTAACTCAGAATTTAAAAGAAACTGAAGTAAGCTAGGCAGTCACGGCTGGTCCACTTTGCTTTACAGCGCTTTGACATTGCCGTGGGAAGGATTCAAATGAGGCAAGCGCACAAACTCGTGTTTTTGCCCTGCCTCCACCTTACTACTCACTGTGCTTTATAAGTTCTGAAGCTTTTTTTTTTACTCTGTATGTTTTGCATATTTTATAAACTAGCACAAGCAGTATTTTCTTTATAGTACAATATATATTTAATTCCTATCATTTTATAAGAAGCCCCACTCTATTGCCTGTATCATACTGCTGTTTAATGGATTTCATTTTTATGCTTTTTAAGTGGCCTCTTGTGCCGTTCTTTCCATATGCAGATAAATTGTGTCTCTCGTGTAATGCCATGAATGTTCATGAATCTAATCAATCTTTTTAAGAAGCATTCTGTGCTCAGCCAACCTCTCCTGTAATCCCTCTCCTGCGATTATAGACACGTACTATAGTGCTGGGCTGAAACGCTTACAATTTTTAACCTGCCAGCATTTACATTTTAACAGTTCCTAATCTGGACTTGATTTCCAGCCCGATTACCTTTAAAAATAATATTTTTAGGACTAGGGATGTAAGTCAGAGGTAGCAATTACCCAGCACATACTACACACAAAAGAAAAAAAAAAATCAAAACCTCCAAATATACCTCCAAACGTTGGAAATAAGATACCAGAATGTCATACACCCCCTCACCCATTTTCTCGTTAGCATCTTACCGCTAGAGTGTTTTTCCTAAAGAAACCAACATTGGAATAGCAGTGCTAAGGGCGGTATTTGCATTTCACTCGTGTTTCCTGATATTTTTCTTTTCCAAGTATCCTCCTAGGATATTGCATTACATTTAGTTGTCATTATCATTCTAGTTTATGACAATTCGTTAGTTTCTTTTCTATGTTAGAAAACGTTTCCGGGTTACAGGTCGGGAGTTTTGGCACTTGTCTTTTTTTTCCCTAGAACTGGGTTATGCAGAGGAACACCCCGGGAACACGTTACTCGCATTATTTATCCCTGATACCATCCTTGGCCATTTCGCTAAGGTTTCTCTACTACGATGTTACTCGTCCCCGTCTCCAGAATCCAGCGCGTAATAAAGGTGGACGGTGCACAAACCGAGCTCCCGCTCCTGGCCGCAGTGTGCGCAGGCGTGGCTAGGAGCGTCCTGCCAGGCAGCTAACGGGCCAGGAAAGAAGTGGGAACAGGGCGCAGTCACGAGAAGGGCGCGACCGACTCCTCGCGGAAGAACCGAGGCGGGCGGGCGGGCGAAGCGGGCTGAGGTCGCCGCGCGGCCGGCCAGCCGAGGGCTCCAAGGACGCCGCCGGGAACCGGCTGGGCAGGCGGAGGGCTAGGCGGGGCTGGCCTCGGCACGTGGTCTGCGCAGTTAGGAAAAAGATTCGCAGGCTGGCTCTTCAGGCCGCAGATGGCCGTCCTCCGGGCACTGGGCTCGCTGTGAGGGTAACCTGGCGTCCGGTTGAGGGTTTGACGCCCCGGACTTTAAAAAAGGGAAATAAATCTGGACATCTGCGCGTGCGCCCGCTGGGAGGGAGCGCGGAGTACACCCTGAGCGCCGCCATCTTGGAGGCCGCGCCTGCGCAGAGGAGAACACGAGAACTTCCGGGTCACGGACTTCCGTTGCCTGGGTAACGGAAGAGGCGTCGCCTTCGTGGAACCCGCGAGGTCCGCTCGCTACTGCAACCTCCCTTTGGTTGGCATCCTTCGTCGGGCTCGGCGCGCGGGTTCGCGAAGGGACCCGAGGCCCGGGGGTCTGACGTCACCCGGCGGGAACGTGGGGTGCGGCGGGTGGAGCGTGAGACTCTGGGGGCGCAGGCGGTGCCTTAGGCCCGGCCCTTCCGGCTGCACGTGGCCGTTGCCCGGACGCTTTTGGGAGCCTCGCGGCCTTCCAGTGGCCCGAACCCGGAATACCTGAGCGGCGACCGCGCTCGGCGCTGGGACCTGATCCCCAGCCTCCGGTGGAGCAGCCCGGGAGCCTGCAGTTGCCGGGCGTCAACCCCGCCGGCAGTTACTTATTTAGGGTCGTTCGATTCTCGTATTTATTTAGGGGAAACTTCTAAAATCAGCTGTACCACTATCTAAATATGCATGTAAGATACTATGTACTCATATACGGCATGTTTGTCAAAATAGCATACAAAAATCGTACTAAAAGTCTAGCACGTTTTCCAGTGATATGTAACTGTGATAATGTGGGCAAAAGTAAACCCCAAACGGATCACTTGCATTATAATGTTCTGAAGCTTTTTTTTTTTAAACTCTTGTGTGTTTTGCATGTTTTATAAACTAGCACAAGCAGTCTTTTCTTTATAATATAGCAATATATTTTCATCCTATTATTTTAGAAGAAGCCCCACTCTATTGCCTGTATCATACTACTCTGTTGAATGAATTTCATTTTTATGCTTTTAAGGAAGTAGCATGAGGAATCTCTAGCACCCGTTTAGATTTTATCTTCTTGTATGTTTTCTTACCTCTCCTGGTCTCCCAAACCAGTTGCCAGTATCCACTTAATTATATTTATTTGAGGATAGTCTCTAAGAATAGTCCACTGTTTATTTCAGACTGAAAGGGGATTTTTTTTTCTACCTCTAAAATGTCTTAGTGGATGGTGGCTCCTGTTGTATTCTAAGTACAGTTAATTTAAGTTGGTGCTTTAGTAAATGTTGATTAGGATTGAAATGTGGAAATCCCCACAGCACATGTTTATGAAATAATTTATGAGAATTGCCATGATTAATCATGCAGTAGGGCTTGAGGATAAAATTGTTTTAGAAAAACCAGTGGAATGGGTCCTCTGTCACTGCAGCATGCAGATTTAGGTCTTGGGATGAATCTTCTCTCTACAAAAGTATTTTAAATATACAAATTTCCCTCAGCTGCAAAGCAAAGAAGAACAATGAACCAAACATCTTGCTGAGAAACTACCAAAACACATTTCTATGATAAAGCGCACAAAGAACAGTGATTATCAGACAGCTGGAAAGTAAGACTAAGCTGTGCTTTTTATTTTGGAATAGGCATCTCCTTAGAAGCTACAATTGTAGGATGCAGAAGGGAAGAGGAAGAACAAGCCGGGTCAGAAGGCGAAAACTTGTCCAAAGGAGAGGAGGTAGTTTTGTTTGTTTTGGTGGCTGTGATGAAGGAAAAGAAACACGTGGTTGGCCCCTGTCTGTTTTTTTTTTATTTTTATTTTTTTATTTTTTTTTTTAAATTTTATTTATTTATTTGTGTGTGTGTGTGTGTGTGTGTGTGTGGCCAGCTCAGCCCACCAGGGGGCGGGGCTGGCTGGCATGTGGTGCTGGGGGATTGAACCGCGGTCCCTGTACTTTGCTAAGCTTGTTCTAAGTAGGTGCTTTAGACCACTGAGCCATCTCACCAGCGGCCCCCCCCCCCCCCCGGTCTGTTTATGCACACAGGTTTTCTGAAAGTACAGAGGGGGTATGTCTTAACACCTCTTCATGGTGCCCTTGTATTCTTTTAAACGCTGGTGAGAATAGTATGAATCTGTTTATCTCATTGCTTCAGCCTCTTATCTGGAGATAATGTCCCTGGTGTGTGGGTGTAAATTCATCACTTCTAGCTCAGTGGAACTAGAAGTGATCATGAAGTGCTTGGCCAGCTGTATGGTGCGGTGTAGATGCTATTGTTATGCGTATAAAAATTAGTGGCAGTGCTCCTGGTTGACCCTAGACATGTCAGCACTGTCCTGAAGTATAGTATTGTTTTTGCCCTCCATAGCCATTGTCTTGCAGAACCTTACCTTTTGTAGGTTAGTTTCTTCTTGTGCTTTCTGCTACTTGTTCATGAGGATGACTTCAGCTCGTTCTTTTGCTGCTTTGTCTATACTCCTATTTCCTGTCCCATTTATTGCTATCCAGTTTTCCAGAGGAACAACTTCCTTTGGCATTTGGTTAGGAACCCCTGGGGAGCCTCATTCCGTGTTCTTTGAGGTCTGAGCTCCTCTGTTCCTTTAGAAGGAAGCCCTCCCCGGTAGCGCCTTATGTTCTGAGTACTGTATGTTGTCTCTGCTCTCTGCTTCATGAACACTCTCCCTCCATTTCCACCATGGTTATTCTTAATAATCCTCCTTAGACTACAGTAGTGATGGCGAACCCCTTAGCATCTCAGTGAGAACAGCCTGCGCCTGTGCAGTGTGTTGTGGGTTTGCCACCACTGGCCTAGAATATGTTTTCTTTCTGCTTGCTTGTTTGCTTTTCTCTCTAACCTTAAAAGCTGATTTTTGGTAATGCCATGTGTAATTCTCACTCATGTCAGCCTTTCCTTGTTTACCAGCTAAACTGCCAGCTTTTTGAGAGCAGGGAACGTGTTGTGTTATTTGTGACTAGCATGTGCTGTGTGCCGGTTAGTGTATGGTAGTGACTCAGGAAGTGGCCTAGTGGGATCTGTCGTCTCAGCTTCTTGGAAGCCCGAGGTGGGAGGACTGTGGACAGTACCGTGACACCCTGACCTGTAAACCTATTAATGTGGTACAAAATCCTCACATTTTAATTGCCTTGGTGAATGTAAATTCTTGCGTACAATAGGAAAATAAAAATTGTTTAAATTTGCTGCTCTGTATTTTGCCAGCTTAATTTCCAGACCCATACATAGTAATCTAATAGAACAGTGAAAAAGCTTTTCGTCCCCTACAGTGGACACTAAGATTATTTTCAGTCTTTGGCTGTCTTAAGTAAAGCTGCTGTGAACATCTGTGTACGGATCTTTACCTGGACATATCTTTTTTCCTTTGAGTGTCTACTTAGGAATGGAAATGACCAGATCAGGTGTAGGTTTAACTTTTTTTTAAAAAATTTTTTCAGTACAGAATCTTGCTATGCAGTTCAGAATCATAGCAGTCCTCCTATCCAGCGCTGGGATTACAGGTGTGCACCACCATGCCTGGTTTCAGGGCCAGCATGGCATACCCAGGGTTCTGGGGCCAGCAGGGCATGCAGTACCTGGGATTGAGCTGCAGTCCTTCTCTTGCCAGGCAAGCACTTAGACCTCCGAGCTATCTCTCCAGCCCTTAACTTTAAAAGAATCTGAATGGCCGGTCAGATGGCTCAGCGGATTAAAGTGCCTGCATAGGCAGATGCAGGGATAGGGGTTTGATCCCCAGCGTGCTGTGCTGGCCCCACCCCCAGGGCGCACTGAGACAGCGATTGGGCATGGTGGTGCATAATCCCAGTGTTTGGGAAGCTGTAAACAGAAGGATCACTAAGAGTCTGAGCTGTGCAGTGAGACCCTGTACACCCTGTACTACATACAGATGGATAAATAAAAGAGTCTGCAAAACCTTTTTTTATAGCGTCTACCCTATTATATATTCTCACCAGCACTGTGTGAGAGTTCTGGTTGCTCCACATTTTTGGGAATACTTGTTGTTGACTCTAGCAGTGACGGTGAACCTTTCAGAGCTTTCCATGATATGAACAGCTTGCTGTGCCATGTGTGCCACAGTGTGCCACCACTGGACTGTGGAATTGTGTGTCCTAGAGGATCTTTCATGTGTATTTGCTGCTGGATGCTGTCTTGTTCCCTCCTGACCTATTGTGTTGCCATCTTTTTCTGTGGTGATCTTGCACTCAGTTCTGCTCAATTACTGAAACAGGTCTTCCAGTTTCTTTTCTTTCTTTCTTTTTTTAAAAATCTCTCTTTTTTTTCCCCATGATTTTATCCAGTTTCTAATTATTGCTGTAGTAGAATCGTCCTTCTTCCTTCTATTTCTGTTGGTGGTTGCTTCGTGTATTTTAGGGCTGTGTCATCAGCATTCAGTGTGCCTGCAATCATTACATCCTTGTGATGGAGTAACACCTTCATTGTTATCAAACATTGCTCGCTAACTCTATTAGCGCCTTTATTTTAATGTCTGGTCTCGACTGGTACGAGAATAGTCTCTCCAGTGTTTTTGGAATGGTGTATATGTTGCATCTTTTTCTTCTAGTTCAGATCTCTGTATCTTTGAGTCTAAGGTGTGTCTCCTGTATATAAGATGTCCTTGGGTCTTGCTTATGTACCTTAACAAACTCTTTTTGCTTGGATTTCTTACTTCATTGACATTCAGTGATATTGAACCACTTGGATTTTTATCTGCCGTTTTTTGTCTTGTTTTCTATACATCTCGTTATCTCTTTGCTCCTATGTTTCACCTTTACAGTGTTCTTTTGTGTTGTCATTATTTCCTAATATAGTGCTTTTATTTCATTGCCTTTCCCTTATATTTTTTTAATTACTCATCATAGTTCCAAGGCTTACGATATGTGCCCTAGCTCACTCAGTCCAGGTCTTGGGCACCTTGGGCCTCTATGGCAAAGTGCCAGAGACTGGGTTGCTTAAACAGTGTAAATTGATTTCTCACAGTAGGGGATGCTGCGACGTGTGGCAAGGAGCTGGCTGGCTGACTTGGCTCCTGGTGCTGGCTGTCTTTTGGCAGTAGCCAAGTGCATGTTGAGAGTCCTCACATGGCAGGGGAGCTCTACTTATTTGTTTTTTCTTTTTTGTGAGAATCTAAGTTTTAAGGCTTTAGGTTCTATGAGGATAACCTTCTGGCTCTCAATATGCACTGTCCCACCCCCTCTCTCTCGTAAGTCCCCAGTTCTTTAATGAAAGCTCTACTGTTGTGCCCTCCTCTCACTGTCCTTATCTCCCTTAGGACCGCGTATCCAAATGCTGTGACTCTGGGGTTAAGTTGCAACACAGAAATTTCAGGAAGGCACAAACTTTCACTCTAGTAGTATTTGTCTTTTAGTTCTTAGTAGTTGTTTGTAGTTTTTGATATACAAGTCTTGTATGTTAATAGGTTTATCTAGGGGGCCAGGGAGATGGCTCAGTGGAATAAGTGCTTCCCTGGCAAGCGCAAGGGCCTGAGTTCAATCCCCGGTTCCGAAAAAAAAAAAAAAAAAAAAAAAAAAAAGGTTTATCTCTTAAGAATTTTATATTTATGGGCCAATATATCACAATGGCACAAGTGACTGCTTGGCAAATCCAAAGTCCTGAGTTCCATTCCTAGTTAAAAAAAAAATCATATTTTTGATGCTACTGAAATATTTTAAAATTAAAATTTGTGATTGTTTGTTGCTAATATATGGAAATAAACATTTGATTTTGATGTTATAACCTGCTACATTGTTGAATTTACTAGCTTTTTTGAGATTCTACTACATCTTCTATATACTTGCTGTTGTCTTCCAAGATTAAGGTTTTACTTTTTGTTTCAGTTTGATTTCTTTGATTTATTTTTCTAGATGCATTTTACATTTTACTGGCTGACCTCTTAGGCCAGTATTGAAATGTAGGGGGAAGAGGAACAAGCAGATATCCTTTTCTTGTTTCTGGTCTTAGGAGGAAAATTCCCAGGTTTTACCATTACATATGTGAGCTATATATATTTTAGAGATATTTTTCACCAGATTGAGAAAGTTTTCTGTGATTTTTTTTTTTTTTT